TTCTCCAAATTTTGTATAAAATAAAAAAAATTCTACCAATTTATTGTATTTTAAAGTGCTAAACAAGTTTATTTAGTATATTAAGTTAGAAATAATTAATAAAATTCTGAGAATTGCAAGATTTTATAGAATTTTATTAATAAAATTATACAAAATCTTATTATTCTCGAAAGTTTACTAATTAATTCTAACTTTGTGTACTAAGTAAACTTGTTCAACACAAAAAAATACATATATAAATATTTGAACTTCGAACTAGTTTAACAAACTTCAGACTGAACCTGGACCGAACTCAAATTTGACTAAAAAGTTTAAAACAAAAAATTTGAGTTCAGTTTGAAAATTGAACCAGATTCAAACTTGACAAAAGTCTGATTCGATCCAATCCAATAGGAGCTCTACTAGATTCTAATGTTGTATATTGGCCGAAAGGCAGATATTGGGAGTCAGTAAAAAATATTCCTAATAGTAATACTCTATCAATTCATAACTCTATTATGAGATTCTGAGTTTTAAGTTTTATATCTTAATAGAGAAGGTGGTTCTGGCAAAACAATACACACAATTCAAATCTTCAAAAATATAAACATGGTTGTTTTTACACATACAAATGTGTTAGCTAAAGATTTCTGTAAAGTAAAAGCCCAAACTTGGTATAGCTTCTTTAAATGAAATAGTGTAGAAGAATGAATGCCTAAATATATAGAAAAAAAGAAATTTCCATAAGTTGTCATCTGGAACAAGGTATACACAGTGTCTAGACATATTTTCAAAATATTTATTGACTACTTACCAAAGCAAAAATGCCAGGTAATTTGTTGTAAAGATGATGCTTGCCTCCACTATTCTTTGAAGAAATGCCTTATAACTAGTTAAAAGAGCAAGCTAATTACTATAAAGAAGTATTAACTAACTATTAGACTAAATGCCCTAGATTACAAGAGCTTAAGAAAAAAATACGATGCCAAAATAACAGAGTGCAGTCAAACTTATTCCGTAAAGCACTTTCAGTTGCAAAAAAATAAAAATATTTTGAAGCTGAATAGAAGCCATCAGATCATATCTTATTAGCATATATATTTTTCTGAAAAATTGCTTTCCAAAAATGTCTAGAACTTCATCGAAAAAATATTCTAATATACTGATCCTGTTAATTTATAGGCCAAAAGATGGACGTAAACAGAATTGTCTTGTTCAAATTTCTGGCTCATCTGAAAAGAAGGAGTTAGTAAAAAATAATATAAAATATTTGCTCTTAAATACACTTTCTGACAAGTTTTTAAAAGATATATTAGCAGATAAAAAAGTTATAGATTAGAAATTCAGATATACAATGACCATTTATACTAGTCAAGAAATGACTCTTAAATCATCACAACGTGTTTGGGTTATTGATAAAAACCTAGCCTGGGATAATCTAATATATTTGGCAGTTAGTCGTGTAGAATATTTAAGCCAACTCATTTGGGTTAAAGCGCACTATTACCTCCTGAAATTGCCTAAAAGTTTGAGGAAGAAAAAAAAAAATGGCTAGAATGCAAATTGAGGCCATCTATTTAGGAAAAACTTATCAGATATATGGGCCAGGATAAAAAAAAAAACCATGAATTTGATCTAACAGTTGACTATATTCTTATATTAAAACATATTTAAGAAGACAAATGCATATTATATCTCATCAAAATGAAATTCGAATAGAATCAACCAGGAGATATACTTCAGTAGACAGTAGATCAAATCCACAATAGTTTGGGCATATTAAAGAAAATATACACCTTACTTGTCTTCTTTGTAACTGAAATCATAGAGTCTAGATCATGGTGGTGATCTAGATGCATATATTGGGTAATTTCAATAGAAACAGCCCATTTTTACATATAAACTATTTTGAGTAAATCAGGTTTAAAAAAAACATGATCAACAAAAATTTTGATCTAAAAATAGCATTTCACATTTCTAGA